TATTAAGCAGCCACTAATTAAATATTCATTTATGACTGAATTAATTTCTTTGGAACTGTGGCATTGCCTCTCTTTTCTCATAATTCTTACTCTTATGGATTGAATTCTGTCCTTCTCTCCAATTCATATGTTGAAGCCCTAACTCCCAGGACCTCAAAATGTGACCTTATTTGGAGACAGAGTCTTTATAGAGGTAATCGTTTTAAAACAGGTTCATTAGTGTGGGCCTTAATCCAATCTAATTGGTGTTTTAAGAGACAGGTGCATGTCCGTGGAGAATGTCATATGAACATTGAGACATTTGATGCTTCCAGAAGCCAAAGAAAGCCAAAGATTGCCATCAAAGCCCTAGAAGCCAGGAGAGGCCTGGGACAGATTCTCCCTCAGAGCTCTCAGAGGGAACCAGCCCTGTCCATTCCTTGATCTTAGACTTCTAATTTCCAGATCTCTGAGAAGCTATATTTCTGTGGTTTAAGACAACTCGTGTATAGTATTTTTTATGGCCATCCAAGGAAACCGGTCCTCCGTAGAGACCAGAGTGGAGACCTATATGAAATTATCTCTGAAGCCCCTTTACCTTCCCTAAATTTGTATTACCCAGATCATATTCAGTCTCCTTTTCCTTTCTGCTGAATCCTGCCCATTCCTGGCTTCTTGGGCAATGATCTCTCTGGGTCTCCTTTCCAGTGGATGGCTCATAATATTCTCCTTTGAGGTCCCAGCAGGTCCTGAGGCCCTGGCTGGGGAGAACAGAAATGGTGGGCCAGGCATCTCATGGACTTTCTAGTCCTCTGCACATTTCCTGTTCCTGGAGTTGAACAGGTGACACATGCACAGATGCCCAGATGACAGCTGGAAATGGGAGCAGCCTGGGATGCCTCCCACAGGGGACAGCGTCATTATCACACCATGAGCCGGCTGAGAAGGAGCAGACGGTGAGTCCTGAGGGGGTCCTAACCTGAGCTTTATGCAAACTGGGAAATTCAATAGGTTGTACAACTTGTCCTACATGAAGCTGCCATAAAGGATGGGTCTCTAGGGGTGGGCTTGGTTGCCATGGAGACAACAGGGTAAGGAGGGGTTAAGGAAGAACACAGCTGTTCATCTAACTGTGCATGAGCCCACTCCTTTTCCTAAAGTAGAGCTTCTTTGAGGTCATCTCACTTATTTCTCTGCTGTCAGGCAGGATGGCAGCCATTTCAGCCCCCATTTATTGCCAGGATTGGAAATCCTGCCACCCCCTGTAGCCATCATAGGCTGCTATGGGATCCTTCTCTTTTTACCCTTCTGGGAGGATCTTTCTAGCAAATGGCTTATGTTTACTGCACAGAAAGTGCTTGTACTGAGGAGGGTACCCATTCTGCAGATAGGGGCTAGTGACAAGGAGCTATGTGTGAAATAGTATGAACCTCATAGAATCTGATCATTGGCAGGTTTAAGAAAAAGATCTATGCCAGTGTGAGGGGATTAGCCAAGAAAGCTGAAGAAAAGAAAATGCATTGAATCCTCTTCAAGGTTACTTTTAACTTATTCATTTTTGCCAAAAATGCCATAGAAATGAGGCCTTGCCTTTATTGGGGATATTCTATTGGGGGGCATATGAAATTGATTTTCTGCATCATGGGTGATGGGAACTTTGATCTCTTGCTCACCATGGGGGTCTACCTGATTTCCTCATCATGAGGCTACTATTGTTCTGGTTGTAATTAATAAGCATCTTATGGGAGGATAGAGAGGATAGATTAAGACATAGAGATATCCTGTTTCTCTTCGGACTTTCATCCACTAATTTTAGCATCCATTGCCCATTCTTGCCTGAAGCAATTATTACTGTGAACTTTGCAAATGATGACTTTTTTTTTTTGGTACCAGGGATTGAACCCAGGGTTGCTTAACTACTGAGCCACATCCCAGTCCTTTTTATTTTTTATTTTGAGATAGGGTCTTTCTAAGTTGCTTAGGGCCTTCCCTGAGTTGCTGAGGCTGGCTTTGATTTTGTGATCTCCTGCCTCAGCCTCCCTAGCAGCTGGAAACATATGTGCACACCACCACACCCTGCTGCAAATGATGATTTTTTATTTCCATATTTTTTCCATATTTATTAGTTGAGCTTAAAGAAGGGCACCCCTCTTATCATTTGTTTGTCAAATGTCAGTAAAGACCATGAATCCTTATTTTATTCTGTTGGTAAAGACCATGATTATCATTATTTCCCTGCTCAAATTGCTCCAAATTTGACCACTGGGATCCCCCCTTCAAGTTGGCTTTGAGGTCCTTTTAATATGTACCCTATTTTTTTTCAGTACTTCTTGCCAAGAATAAAAGTAATAACCTGAATTTAATCATGATGAAGCATCAATCATATCCAAATCAAAGGACATTCTACAAAATAACCGGCCTGGATTCTTCAAGGACATGAAGGACAAAGAAAGACTTCAGATCAAATGACTAAGGAGACATGACAATGGGATGTCACACAGGCTCCTGGATTAGATCCCAGCTTAAATTCTGGCCCAGAAAAGAGAGATTATTGGAACAATTGACAAAGTGTTAATAAAGCATGTATATGAAGTGGTCTTATTGAACTAATGTTAACTTTATGATTTTGATAATTGTACTATGGTTATGTAAGATGTTAACTTGAAAAATCTGGATGAAGGGGATATGGAAGTTCTTTGTACTATTTTTATATCTTTTTATAAATTTAAAATTATTTCAAAAATAGAAAGTTAAAGTTAAACAAAATGACTTTTACAAGGAGAGGAGAGTCAGGTGGGGGGTAGGAGATACAGAACGAAGGAAAATATGACAGATAATAGTACATAAATTGTTCCGGGCCTGGATTCTTCCTCCCACAAATCCTGTCCAGAGTGATGGGCCCTGAGTGGCTTGGAACACAGCATGGATTTGTCTCTTCCCAGAAATGTTTTTTCATTTCTCAACAGCCTCAACATGAAAATCACCAACAGGAGTCTTGGGGCCTCTGACTCCTGCTGATATGTTCACTGGGAAAAATCAATTACAGCCTAATTACCTCAGGGGGTTAATTAGCCTCCTGTAACTTGGGTGTCCTCTGTGAATGGAGCAGCCTGTCAGTCCTCGGTCAGTGAGCAGGGGTGGCTGAGCCAGAGGCTCCCCTAGGGAACAGCCTGCCTCAGGGCTGGGAAGGGGCCCCAGCCCGTCTGGGAGAAGAGCAGACAGACAACTGACCCGGGGCAGTCACCAGGGCTGGCAGAGGTGTGGTGCCGATGGACTTGAGTCCCCACTAATTTAAGCTCCTCTACACCACAGGTGCTGACGGGGCTGAGATGACAACTGCAGCAGAAAGAAGAATTACAGACCCGTGCAAGTTCTCAGGCCAGCAGTTGCCGGAAATCACTGGAATCAGGGAGAAGGCACGGAGCCCTGAGCAGCTCAGGAAACTGACTCTCTGAGGGCAGAGACCAGGCACCACCAGCAGCCCCCGCAAACACTCTTCCCGTAGCATAAAGACACAGGGGCCAGTCAGCAGTCACGGTCACTGGCCACATCTGAGAGTAAAATGGGATCAAAGCAGCCCACTCTGTGAGGGGCAGTGTGTACATCACGTAACCCCTTCCTACTCAGATGGACAAGGCCCAAGATGCAGTATCTCCCTCAGTACAGCACCGCCATGTGAATGAGTTGCATTTGTGAGGTCTATACCAGCTAGAAAAGACTTGGATATTAGGGAAGTAGAAATACTTCTCTGTATCTTGTTTTTTTTTTTTTTTTTTTTTTTTTTGGGGGGGGGATTAATTTGTAGAGAATTTGTAAATTATTTTATAATTAAATCTGAATTCAAATATTGTCCTTGCCATTTTATTCACTGTGTGAACTTGAGCATGTCACTCAAATTCTCTGAGCCTCAGTTTCTTCATCGGCACCACGGAGGTGAGAATACTTACCTTCCGATATTGTTGTAAGGGTTAAATAATTAAATGCTAAGCAACACTGCTCCCTGTTCAAAGCATCTCTATATTAACATCATCCATTTAAACCCATCCTTGCGGTTTGCTTGTTTGTTTTTTAAACTGATCTGAATCTCTGAAATGCTCACAGGGGTGCTCCAGAAGGTTTTCAATATTCCGTCGTAGGTAAGAACCAGAGCAGCTTTCTTTGGACTACCAGGCAGACGGAGGCAGGAAAAGGACAGGACATCAGCTCAGGGAAGATGGAGTCAAGGAGCAGCCCCTCCCTTGCTTTTTTAAACCTGCAGACCACAGTGGTACCTGCCCAGGTCTTTGTTCCTAGTCACCATAAGGGAATGTGCAATTAGTTTCAAAGCACAAGTGACAGTCGTTGAATAGGGAGCTGTGAAGAGTGATGGGCACACAATGCAACTAAAGTTAAGCACAACTCTTCCTCTCCCAGGCCATTCAAAACCGGAGCAGCTGCGTTTTCACTCCCATCATCTATTCATCTTCCTTTGCAATTTGCTATTTTGGAAACATCATTCCCCCATCCCCCCGTATAATTAATTACCTATTTCTTCCCATTAAAATCACAAACAAATGGGGACAGACACTAAACCCCGGGAAATGGCGCGGTGGCTAATGTAGTGCTTTTCTTTATTTCTCCCATGTCCAACTTTGCAACTCTGAGCTAATGGTAACTACTGAAATCAATGTTTCTGCTCAGAAGAGCTAAACCTGCTTTGTGAAATATTCACCCACCATGGAACCAATTTCTTGGCTGTATTTGGGTCAGCCAGCCTGGCCGGGGCCACTGGGCTGGCTCTGTGTCCCTTGTGGTATGCAGGTGCACACAGATTTGCATATACACGCATGCATAGGCACAAGGACACGCTCCATACTCTTGTCATTTATGTCTGGACATGGACCATCCAGACACTTGAGAGGCTGTCTATGTCCCCAAATTAAATAAACTCAAATCTGAGAATTTATCTAAAAAGGCTCAATTTGTACCTTTTCCCCACAATCCTGGTTGTCCCCTCCTGCTCTGAAAACTTAGGGACTCACCTCGGTGATTTGGGGGTTGGAGCACTTGACATTGTGGCTGGACCAGTCCAGCCAGGGACTGGAGGGGCTGGTACAGTGCTGGTGGAGGGTGCATCTGCGCTCGCCGCTGCACCAGCCACACTCGAACTTGCGGTCAGCCTTGAGGCAGAGCCCACAGCTCTCCCGCTGGGCTGCACACTTGTAGAGATGCACTGTAAAGAGAGGGGGACTGTCAAGATGGGATGGCAGAGGCAGCTCACGGCGTACCCTCTTCTAGCAAGCACGACAGACACCATCCCTAACCGTGGATAACACCCCATCATCATTGCAAGAATAATGGATGGGAAATTAATAATAAATTGAACCTCTTAGTAGTCATTTAAAGGCACTACAGAAAATAATATTATTTCAGAGTTTCTGGCTCAAGATTGAATCAGATCAGGGCTTTAATTGTGGCTTCCTGACTTCCGAGCAATGTGACAAAGTATTTAACCTCCCTGAACCTCATTTATCTATCTCTAACACAGAGATAATCATTGTTTTTTGGGAGGTTTGAATGAGATGTTGTATAGTAAGCGCTTAGCGCAGTGCCTGTGACATATCTGATGTTCTATACATGCTTATTATCTTTTCTTTGAGCTCAAACTGTATTCTTTTGCTGCTGTCTTTCCTACTCACAGATGGCCCCTATTTCGAGAGGTAAGGGCTTATTTCCTCATTGCAGGTTAAAATGAAGCTCAAAGAGCGACGTAATGACTATTACAGCTTACTAAGCTTAGTGCCCCAAACGGGAGTCCTGAGGCTCCAGTTGGCTCTGCTGCTAGTTGGACATCCCGAGAAGAGAGGAATCTCACCTTGTATGCTGGAGATTGTGTGGATCTGGGACAGGAGTCAGCCTGAGCTTAAAGAAAGGCTGGGTAGCTGGGGAGGTATTGCTGGTAAGGAAAGTGGGTGACAGAGTCCTGTTGTCAGCCTCTGTGGATGGACAGCATGTCCCAGAGAGGACAAACTGGCTCCTTAACAGGTCACATGTGCAATCTACAAGTGCATTTTCTTTGCTTTTTGTCTCCTATTGACCAGCCAGTTAGTGAAAATGTGCTTGTGAGTCTGGGGCTTAGTTTTTTTCCTGCTAGGGTTCTGAACTCAGAGTCCCAAAAGAATTCTACAAAACCAGAGCAAAGCTGACCCTCTGTATTCACCAGTTCTGTATCTGTGGATTCAACCAACCGTGGATTGAAAATATTTTAAAAAATGCATCTGTACTGAACATGTACAGACTTTTTATCTGATTGTTATTCCTTAAACATAGTGTATAACAACTATGAATAGCACATTTACATTGTATGAGGTATTAGAAGTAAGCTAGACATTGCTAAAAGCATATAGGGACATGCGCAGGTCATGCACAAACACTGTGCCATTTTATAGAAGAGACTTAAGAGGCCTCAGACTTTGGTCTCAGCAGGGGGTCCTGAAACCAATCCAATGTGGAGATTGAAGGATGACTGTACTCAGTCATTTTTCAACCCTTCTGGTCAAGCAGACCTTAGCTTTTAGGATTGGGCACTGTACCTCTGCTGGAGGTCAGGTACATGCCCTGGGGGAGAGGTACTTTTTATTCTTTCATAGGTTCTCCTCCCATTCCTCTGGTCTGCCCAGCATTCCCTGGTCCGGGCTCAAGGACTATGTAAACATCCTTATGTCTATGGCCTCTTAAGGTAGAGGGCAGGAAATGGGAGTCTTAAAATAAACAAGTACACACTGGGCATTTATAAATATGGACCACATGCTCTCCAGCCATGAACTTATTGGATCCTCATGATGACCCTATGCCAAGGGCATCCCTTTCTCCATGGCGCAGGCAAGGACACTGGGGTGTAGAAAGGAGCTGTAATTAGCCCAAGTTCACACTGCTGCAAGTTCAAGTGCCAGCAGTTGAACCTTGGTTTGTTGGATTCTAGAACCTTAGTCCTTAGACACTGTGGCCATATCCCCCCAACACCTGGGTGTACAGTCACCCTGACACCCAGGGTTCCAGGTGCAAAGGCAATCTCTGGGATCTAGGCCTAGCTCCTCGGCAAAGAAAGAGACTCCTATCTCTTAGTGGTGAGAAAATTTGGGGCTGGGAATGAGGAAAAATAGTATAAAAAAATCTCCCAGAATCAAGTTGCTCTCTCGCAGTCCAAGAAGCATTTATTTTAAAGGCAGCAAAGAGGCAAATCCCCAGATGCTGAAATACTTATAGACCACTCTCTATTGTGTCCTTAGGCCCCTTCCCAGTACCCAGGGGGTGACTCTCAGATGAAAACAGAGCCTGTGACAGCTTCAACTACTTGAACTGAAGTTAAGATATGTGGCTCGTGATGGGAGCAGAGCTGGGGTACATTCTGGGGGAAAAGGGTTCAAATCCCACAGTGAGCTGAGCAGCAGGTCATCACTGTGATGTGGGTAGCTTGTGCGTGAGTTCTGAAATTAAACTGGCTTGGTACAGATCCTGGCTCTTGCTATCCAACTTGGCCCTTTTCTTAACCTGTTTGGGTCTCACTTTCCTCATCTACAAAATGGGAACAAAAATAGTACATGCCTTTTGGAGTTGTGATGATTAAGAGAAATAATGACAAACAAATCACTTAATGATGATTTTTCCACTGAATGCTCAGCAAACTGGAGAGACTTTTACCATCCTTAACAACGCAGCTAGAATTTGTATCTGTCGCATTAAAGGAAGGGCCACACTTGGCCCATGGAAAAAGCTCAACATATGTTTGTAGGATGGTAAATGAAGGTGGCCCTTGTGCGGTACCCGCTCCTGCTCCAGTCCAGTCCCCTTCCTGAGCTTCTTTGCTCCAGATGTGGGCCTGACTACGCATGCTGGTCCCTCCCACCTGCCTCAGGACCAGGAGTGCAGCCTTAAAAACCTTCTTTGTGCAGTGACCGTGACCAGGGCCAAGGACAGAGAAACGAGAGCTGAGTGGAAACAATATCTCCATTTCCAGGGAAACTGGCGGGATGTTCCTGCCTGCTGTTCTCCTAGGTCAGGTTCCACAGACACTTCAAAGCCACCGGGAGCCAAAGAATAGCGTGGATGAGTTGGCAGCCGCCTGACGAATGCTCTGGTTGTAATAAAACAGGGCTCCCAACAGGACTCCTTTGATGGCTCCAAATGTTGCTTTAGGATCCTCTGAAGAGTTCCGCTGACAGAGGGAGTGTATTATTCAAGGCACAGCAGCCTGCTGGCTCTGATTCCTCCAGCCCCAGTCTTTCCCGGGGTCGTGAAAAGATCAAACCTCTACCCGGAAGTAGCTGCTTACCTTTCAAGTCCTGAGGGTTGTCAATGATGAAATTGCCATTCCACACGACGGCGAAGTCCACGGCCAGGTTGCTGATGTCCATCCCATCATACTGGTACTGTGGGGAGTGGGCAGAGGCACATGGCTCAAGAGGCTGTCTGTCATGAGGAGCCAGAGGCTCAGAGCTACCCTTCATCCTGCTCTAAGGAGCCCTAGAATGCCCTTTACCTGACTCCCCAATCATGAATGCCTCCAGGATCCCACCCCAAACTTCCAACTGGGCATTTAGTACCTTGCATAAGCTGATCCAAACTGACTTCTCCAAATTTCTTCTCTACTGCTTTCCTGCAGAAATCTTAAATCCACCTGTCTCCAAACACACCTGCCTAGCCCCCTCTCTGTGTCTTGGTTGAGTTTCTATTTCATAAGAAATGCCATCTTTTCCCCACAATCTCCATCCTTTTAACTCACCCTCATCATTCTCCCAGCCCAGCTCTGGTCCACCTTCCCCGGGCATCCTCTCCAATATCTCTGCCACCCCTCCCCAACCTCCCTGTTCCCTGGCATTGCTGCTCTCCTCCAGGAACTGCTGTGCATCTTTTCACGCACAAGTCCAGTCTTTCTAGAAAGTCCGTGAGTTTTAGGAGATAAAGCCATCCCCTCTCACTACCCCCAGAGAGGCGGAGCTTGGAATAGGGCTTGTTGTGACACTTGTGACCAGCTGGCTGACCAGGCCCTGTGCTTGTCCTCTCTTTCTATACATGAGCCTTACTTTGGTCCATGGTCCACTAAGGAGAAGTGTCCAGAGCTTTCTGGACAGAGATCTCCTCTGCTCCCCCATGAAAGGTATCCAGCTATGGCTAACAGTCCACTTTCTCTCCTGCTAATCACACAGAGGACTTTGAGACCCTCCGCACACTTGAGAAACAGCCCCTCTGGGTGGCCCAGCTCCCATCGCCACCTCTGAGGGAAACCTTTTGGCATCTCCTCTTGGGCTGCCCAGTCCTAGCCACTTAGCTCTGGAGGGCACGTCCCTGTCGGCCCTCTTGCCCCCGGCCCTTCCCGCTGCCTTCCTCCTTTGTTGAGTTCCATTTCTTTCTCATCCCACCTTCCCCTTGCGCTTGGCCGCCTTCCACCGATTACAAATTCTATCAAGCGCCTGTGACCCCGGAATCTGACAGCTCCCTGATAAGAGGCCCAGATTCTCTTTATCTCTCCCAGGCGAATTAGCTTCCCTCAACACCTTTGTCACGTCCCCATCTCCGAGCTGACCCCCCACAGTCAGACACAGGGAGTTGGCAGATAAAAAGATCTTCTCTGGGCTAGAATTATAATTAAACACCTCGGTGCTTTCTGTCCATGCTTTCTGTCCGCCATTCGGGACTGGTTTAACCCTTGCGGCTCTTGAAACACTGCTTCCCCCTTCCTCTCCCCTCCCAACTCACTTCCTCTTCCCTCTTTTCTATTACCTTTGGGGTGATGCCCTCTGGTTTTGCATGTGGGCAAGGTGTGGGGGACAGGGTGGGGTGGAGCTGCTTCACGCTGGTTGGAGTTTCCACACAGGCTTAAAGGCAGGCTCTTTAAACTTCAGAAAGGGTACTGAGATCCCCGCTTCTGCCATTAGGGTAGTTTGTTTCCTCTGACACCATTCATTTGATCTGCCCTGGCTGAGGGTCCAGGGTACCTGCACATTCTTCTGTCCCTGGGGACATAGGGTCAGCTTGGGACCCTGGATGGTTCTAGAAGTTGGGAGCACCAGTCTTAGGGCTTGGCGCAGGTGGGGGAGAAAGTCCTGCTCCAGGCAGGGTCCCAGCTCGAGTCCTCTTACCGAACTATTCTGACACTGGACACTGGAGCTGTTGAATCGCAGGGCAGGGACCCGGTGGATGGCCCCCTGGATGTTGAGAACACATTCGTAGCCTCGCTGGCCCGACTGAGGCTGGGGCAAGTTTCGAGCCTTAAGGGTGATCGGTTTCACCTCTCCGACCGGAATCAGGATCTCCTCTGTGGGCACCAGCTGGGGACAGTCCTGAAAGAGCAAGAAAAGGGGTTCCATTTGTCCTCAGCTCATACTTTCTTACTCACCTAAGGAAAGACAAGGTCAGAACCAGGAGGCTGAGAACCTGGTGAATACAGGTGGGCTCCCCATGAGAAGGACATTACCTCACTTAAGAGGTGTGTGAGTCAGCAGGGAAAATGAGATCTCTCCTAGCTCCTGGGCTTTGATATTGTCATCACCATCCCACAAACTGTCCTGGGTCTGATGTGTGTGTTACAATTCAGGAATTAATTTGCAAGCACCAGTACAGCAAGCTGTGGATTTTATCTCCAGAGAAGCTGGATGAAAGAGCCTCCACGTGTCCCTGTCCCCAACTCCGGCACCCCACCTCTGGTTTCATCTGGTTCCCCAGCTCTGGCTCCTCTGCCCCTCACATGGTCAATGCCCGGGGCGTCCTGTTATCAGCAGCTTCAGCTGAGCTGGGCTTTCCAGGAGGTGCATCAGGCTCTCCCAGCAATGCTCTAAATACTTGCTCTGGCTTTTTATCTTATTTCATTACCAAGCTCTGCATGAATGCCATGTTCCTTTAGAAAACAAAACCCAGGCAAGAAAGTCATGGTAGGGAGGGGCTGTGGGAAGGACCATGAGAGAGAAGGTGAGAAAGAGACTGATTTTCTTCAGTTCTAAGTCTGGATGCTGCTTTGCTCTCTCAGAGGTCAAATGTCATCGCCTAACAGCTCTGATCTCCTCCTTCCCCCCACTCCAGGAAAGATCTGAGCCCAGTAGCCCCTGGAAGTGAGGATGTAGAAACCTTCTCCATGAGGAATCATTTCCTATCTCCAGGGCTCAACTGGAGGAATTCTTGCAGGAGGCTCCACTTCCCTTGGACATTTGTACCTGGGGAGAGCTTTTGAGAATGTTATGGGGGGTCCCAATACTATGAGCCCTGCAGAGGGGGTACTACTGGTACTAAATGACCCAGAATCAAGATTGCTAGATTTCCTGCAAGGTGGGGACAGTCTGCAATAGTAAGAGAGATAAGAGATTGTCCCTTTTGGGATGACAGAGGTGATCCCCAATAAGAAGCCTTATATAACTCAGGTAACGTTAAGCAATGGCACAGCCTCGCTGGTCAGCCTGATACTTATGGGGCAGATTTAGGCAATCACTTCTTTTCTGTAGATCCCAGTTGCAGGCCTGACATGCCTGTTGGCCTCTTAACCCCACAATCTTGCATGCCACATTCTGACCATACCAAATGAACAGCTAGTTCTGATGTGCCATCTCCCTTACTGGATTTTTTTCTCCTGGACTTTTTTGAACATGCTTTTCTCTCTCCCAAACACTAACACTCACTTACTGGGCTGTGAATTTCTTGAGGATTAGGTGGTGGTATATTCAAGCCCACATACCCATTCTTCATTTCAGTGCCTGAAGTGTAATGGACACTGGTCATTGTTTGTGGGTGTGTGAATATAAAGAAGCAACGGATAAAAAGATCTTGAAGTTTCTTTATAGTTCCAACTTTTCAGATTTGTTGGAGATGAGGGTAAATCTCTTCTTTCTAGACATTAAGACACTTGAAGAGAAGTTTGATTCCCAACAACTGGGTTTGGAAACTGCCCTGGTTTCTGGAGTCTTCGATGATCTAACCAGCATGTCTGAATATACTAAGGCATCTTGAGGAACCATGAAGAACTGGATCCAGGGGAAATTTCCCATGGGAATCTGCCTAGGAGGGCTTGGATGGACCTCCAGGATCACTGGTGCCATCCCTTGCCTGTCAGCCAACCACACGTGAGGACTCCAGGCAGGCAGAGTCTCCACGAGGGACAGGATCACAAGGCAGTGCCAGAACAGATGGGCCCGTTCAGGAGCCAGTCACTCAGGCTGCCAACTCATAAACTTGCTCTTTACTGCACTTTTACTTTCATTCCCTGCGGGCACTCTTGACAGAGTCTTTCATATATTTATAGCCAAGGGAAAAAAAAAAAAAAGAATATCGCTTTAGGGAAGCCCAGGCATCTCATGGAAAAGGAGATGCCATGTCCTGTTAGTGGCTAAAAATCAACATCGAATTTAATAAGTTAGACTCTTAATTTAGGATAGAAATAAAGCTGAGGTATAATGGTGTGTGTGTGTGTGTATGTGTGTGTGTGTAGAGAGAGAGAGAGAGAGAGACAGAAGAGAGAGAGAGAATAGATTTTCAGATTCTGAACCTGTTGGTATACTGTAAAAGATGAGCAGTTATTTCTCATCTCTAATGAGCTCAGAGAACAAATTCAAATTTCAGTAGCAGGGTCCTAAAGATGTACTTTTGGAGCTGTAATGTCTCCAGTAAGTAAACAATATTGTAGAGTCCTTTTAACTCTGATCTCTCTCTCCCTCCCCCCGCCCCCACTCTCTCTCACACACACACATACACAAGAAAAAACAAAACAAATCAAAAACCCACAATGGGCCCTAGAGTCCATGGATTCTGCCAATTGAGGATCAAAAATATTTGAAAAGAAATCACATCTGTACTAAATATGTACAGACCTTTTTCTTGTCATCATTCCCTAAACAATGCAGTATAACCACTATTCACACAGACTTGCATTGTATTGGTTATTATAAAGAACGTAGAGATGATTTAAAGTATTTGAGAGGATGTTCATAGGTTACATTCAAGTACCATGTAAATGACTTAAGCCTTTGGCATTTTTGTATTGACAAAGGTCCTGGAACCAATCCCCCATGGATGATTGTGTGTGTCTGTGTCTCACACACACACACCTTCACACACACACACACACACACACACACACACACACACCTTTTTGCCTGGGCTAAGTCCAGTTGGAGAAGCATGAGTAGAATTTATGAGTACTATTCTGAGTCTTTTAAAAAGAAATTCTAGAATTTTAGACACCCTCCCACAACCTGTGGCTTTAGGCCTTTTGCAACTAGACTTAGGAATAATGATTAGGGTCTTCCCAAATGTCCAAATCTGCTACAGGATTGCCCCCCATAGGAAAAAAAAAGTCGTAGGCTTTGTTTATTTGACTCTTGCTCTTAGGTTAAATGGAATAGAATGATTCTATCCCTTCTCTAGGGCAAAGGAAAGAAGTGGTTGGAGTCCCAAGTACACTCTCTGCATCTTGGACAACAGATGAGATTCAGGCCCTCTCGGTTGTGGATGGTTCTGGGGAGACTCAGTGAACAGACAGTGTGACTTGGGTGGCAATGGCAGTACTGAGGCTGCAGGCAGGTGCAGGAGGGCCTGCACCTTGGAAAGTTGCCAAGTTGCTGGAATTCAGTACATCTGGGGTTTGAGGAAAATGATGGATATAATAAAGCCACTTCCAAACCATTTGCTTCTGTGTGTGTGCGTGCGCGCGCACACACACACACACACACACACACACACACCTCTCTCTCTCTCTCTCTCTCACACACACACACACACACACACACAGTTTTTATCTTAAGGACAAAAAAGCAAATAATCACAAATGCTTTTTCTGCAGAATGTTAAGACTGTTATGAATGTTCTTAAAATACTGATTGCTCCTGCCAGTCCTCACAGTCTTCTGAGTGACGTCTTCAGGTCATCCTATTCCTCCTCTGTCTGCAGGCCAGCTGGAGCCAGAGTCACCTCCTCAAGACAGCCGGCTTAGTTTAAGTCAAAATGAACAGATGTCCTGTTTGGGACTATCCTAGAGCTGGGCAGCAGGGGGTTGGGGACAGGGAAGAGGAAATACAACTGTAGGGAGGGCAGGAGGGCCAGGGCCTGGCGTAGAGCCCTGGGAGTCTTAGGGCCCTGTTGCCTGTTCTGTCTGGTTGTGCTCTGCCAGGTTCCCGTGCTGGGGACCCGTTAGCCGTTCGAAACAACTTCTCCCATGTGGAAATGGCATTATCTTCACCCACTGGACTTCAAAGAGAGAGAGCAGCCGGCATCCTGGGAAGCTAATCGGATTTATTTGGTTCTATCTTTCCCCTGGGATGGGGCGTAAAGAAGATATTTATGTATCTACATCTCACTAGGCCTGGTTTAGCCATGGAGGAAGATGAGCTTTCAAAGCTGAAAGCCATACATACTCCTGTGCACTCCTGCTTGTTAACACCCTGCCATAGTCTGATCCGGCCCAGGGAGGTAGAGATTTGGGAGCCCCATCAGAAATCTGCTGGGCTCTGAGTGCTAGAAAAGTCTGGTTTGTTACCTTAAAAGGGCTCAAGGGATGGTTCAATTGAAATTCAGTTTCCTCAAATCTAAAATGGTGCCAATAATACCTGACAATCCTAGATTACATGAAAGAGGGATATGAAAGTATGGGGTAAGTGGTAATGAGCTGGATGAACACTCATTGTTAAATATTATTACTACAAATCTCTCTCTCTCTCTCTCTCTCTCTGTGTGTGTGTGTGTATACATAGAATCTGAGGACATCAACTTCTTCAAGGCCAGCTTGGAACATTGACTCTGAATCCTGATGTCTGCATTTATTTGATGATAATAGGAAAATTATTGTACTTATCTAAGTTTCAGTTTATCTGTAATAGAATCTCCTCCATACAGTAGTCAAGATTAAATAAAATTTATATATATATGTATATATATGTGTGTGTGTATCTATCTATATATAGTGCTGCATATATAATAAGCACTCAATAGATGTTAACTTCTAAAACTTTCCTTTTTGAACTGTAGTCTCTGCAGCACAGCTGTTCTTCATCATCAGGCTTAAGCATGGAGTTGGCCAAGCAGTCCTCTGGAAAGATGTGGGCAAACCCACCTCATATGCGGCTGTCCTTTTATCTGAAAGTGGCATGGCCAACCCATCTTCATGGGAAATTTCTCCATCTGTAGAGATGGATTTGTGCAGGTCCAGCCATACTCTCTGAACCCTCATGACCAACAGCAAGGGCCAGATTGAAGTCACACCTGCAAGGGTAGCTGTGGCCATGGAGACTAACACACTCAAGCCTGATTTTTCTGTAGAAAACAAACTGTGCTGCTTTTTTGGATGCCTGAGTTCTCTGTAGCCTTGGGCAAAATCACTAAATTTTTGGCATCTTGGTTACTACAGATGTCAAATATGAATTATGTGAATCTGCAGGGTTGTTTCAGAATCAACCGAAACACCGTATGTCAGGGGTTCTCAATCTTTAGCCTCATCTGGGATGGGGTCCAAGAATTTGAATTTCTAACACGTTTGTGGGTGATGTTGACGGAGCACACCCTGGTTGGCACACATTGAGAACTTCGGCCACATGTGCAAAAACTATAAATGTGAGATGCATTAATGTTGCTATATTACTCAATGAAGCCAATCAGTTATATATTATCTCTAGGAAGTCGACAGACATAAAATTTTGATTCAAAGTTTAGGTCAGGGGCTTACTAGAAGTATAAAAGAGATATTCTAGGAACCCCAAAGAGACACCTATGAGATTTCCAGTCTCGAAAACAACATAAAGACACAGATGGCACTCCTCATAGAGCCAGGAAAACCTTACCCAAGCTGGCCATGTGTGTTTTTGCTGTTCCTCAAATTTTCAGGAATAGGGGTCCCCTAAAATGGAACTTTGGTTCGAATAGAGCAGGGCTTCAGAGCTATTTTCTGGGCAGGGAGGTGTGATAGGTTGTGGCTGAGAGCTAAAGTAGTATTTTCAGAAGCCAAGGAAGTGACCCAGCAACCTTGCAGGCAAGCTGCACCCTATTTGGGAGCTGGATAGAGTCTGGGTTTCCATCACAGCCCTCCAGAGAGTTACTCCTTGGGCCTGCCTGGGGCCACAAACATGAGGATAAGAGAGCAGGCGACCACCCAGCCCTGCTCAGGCAGATGGGAAGATGGGAGGCAAGGGTATGGTTCTTCTTGAGGCTGAAAGGAGATAGGAAGTCTCTGGATTGGGCCTCAGGGTTCTTTTAGTATTAACTTAATACCGAGTTGCAGGGAGGCAACAGCTTTTTTCCAACCCGCTCTCTGGAATGTCCAGGCCTCTCATCTGTGGCTGACAGGGAGCTGTGTTTCAGTGGCTTCTACACAGTGTGAAGGAGGCCCCGCCTGCTTCCAATTAGCCTTCTGGGGCTCAGCCCTCGGGCCTCTACGCACATCCCGGCTGAGTTTATTTGTCTTGCTCCATGTGACACCCTGCTTGCCCTCACTCCAGCTGTAGGTCGAGATCAGGCTTGGCTTTGGGTTTCTTTCTGCCTGAGGGGGCGGCCCCAGTAGAAAGTGGGGCAGCTGCTCCTTCTTGTCTGAATCTATCCTTCACCCTCTTTCTGGGTTCTGAGTTCCTCCTCCTCCTATTTAATTAAGTAACTTAGAAGTTTTGAGTGGCCAAAGTGAAGGCCAGTTTCTAAGACCAATGATCTCCCATCTTCTACTGCCCAACTTGCACCTCTGATCAGGCCCTCTGCAACTTGTTTTCTTCAGTCATTCTTCTATGGGCTCCCTAGCTGCAATTCCACCACCCCATACCTTCAGCTCTCAGGCCCTTTTCTCTGAGTAAGAAGGCTGGTTCAGACCTCTGCAGAGTTCCAGGGCTGTGATTAATTTCCAGTGTTCACTAAGACCAGTGTAGTGATTTCAGGCCAGCTGCATCCCAGCATACCAACTGGCAAGGGAAATCCTTTTTGGATCATTCCCAGGGTAACTACGTGCCTGATTCTATCCTTTTGAGGCAACTGTGGACGGGTCTGCCTTCAATGTTCCCATTAGGGACCATCTATGTCTCTCCCTTTTAAGATAGACAAATTCCATTTTTTTCCTGACTGAATATAACACATGTTATTTCAGAAACTAAAAAGAGCTCAAGGCCATGGGTGTGTGTTTCAGAAACCTTTCAAGGTCTACTTTCTTATGTTTACTCATGAAAGCTACCGGCACAGCTGTTGAGATGAGGAGATACAAGAGACACCATTTCTGGAAGTCTTAGACAAGCAGACCCAATGTTCATCAATGGGACTTGGGTACAGAAGTGACTAGTTTATCCATGTGTTCCACACACTCATTCTACTCATATTCACTTAAGAAGATACTAAGGATATAAAGATAAGCTGTGATCCTTGCCTTTAAGGAGACTGTAGTCTACTGGAGAAAAATATCTGTGCAGAAAGGTTTAGTAATATATGAAAATGTACACTGTCACCTATAAATAGTTGCGGATTTCTAAATGGCAGAACAAGAGAGAAACTTGTGTATATGCACTTGGGCATATATATGAATACATAAGGTCTCTATAGTTCTTCAAACTCAACTGGTCACCCATGGCTAAAAGTACCAGAAAGGAAAATTGACCCAGCAGCCTTCATCATCCTGAGGTATGCTGGGGACATATAAGAAAGAGTCAACATCAATGAGTAATCATGAAATGGAATATTCACTGGAAGATAAGCAGTGTGATATTTCACTGTGTTGATAAGAGAGATGGATCACCCTTTAGAGATGGAGCTTCAGCTACATAATGAGATTGGACTTTTAGCAATGCCTGGTTCTTTCACTAGTTGAATTTTCTTCTCTTTCTATAAGGCCACCCACCCAGACACACATCAAAGAATCATTGAATTTGAGAGTTGGAAGAGAAGTTGGCATGAAAGAATGGTTGAGAGTGAATGTTCTATTGAACTCAGTTATGTCTACAGCCAAGCAAACGGCCAGACTCAAAGAATACATGCCATTCACTACCCTCTTCCAGATCACAGAGTCTGTTGGGTTGGATATGTTTCCTCTAAGCTTCTAGACTCAATCCCTGAACGCAGAGTTTGAGGAGTCCACTTGTTATGGCCTTTGCCTCTGGGGTCATTTGCTGCCAGTTTCTCGAGCTTTATAACAACATGGCTTTTAAGCACATAGAAGGACCAAATCTAATCAAAGGACCAAATTGGGTCAGCACAAGAGATGATCAAGCCATTGGACTGACCATCTGAAAAGGAAGGGGTTATTCAGATTCTTTGGCACATCGCCATGTCAGGGTGAGCCTTTTACCTCTGAAATGTTGATCCGGCCCTCTTGGAAGGAGCAGGTCGTGGGGTCATGAGTGCAGAGGTTCCGGTACTTGCACCAATGGCAGCGGAAGGCGCTGTTGACACAGGACAGGCACCTGCAAGGATGGAGACAAGAAGAGGACAAGCCAAGGAGCCACAGGTCATGATAGAAGTCATTATCTTATATTTAAATCCTAGTCTTACTCTCAGAAGGGCAGATGACTGGAGCGTCCTCTAGTACCGAGAACTATGAATTCTTGAGCCAGGATGTTCATGAGACCAGAAAGAAACCAGGACTGGAGTAGAAATAATGCACTTAGAATGCAGCAGTGAGCTGTACCTTCCCTGTAGCGCATGTGAGAGCCGATTGTTTATATTTTCAGTCCATTTTTCAAACTGGTAGACTTCACATAGGAAGCTTGAATCAGCCATGGGGGGAAAGTTTAAACTACAGAAATTGGTAAATGGCCAGATGTGGTGGTTCATGCCTGTGATCCCAGAGGCTCAGGAGGCTGAGGCAGGAGGATCTCGAGTTCAAAGCCAACCTCAGCAACTTAGCTAGGCCCTAAGCAACTTAGTGAGATCCTGTCTCAAAATAAAAAATAAAAGAGCTGGGGATGTGGTTCAGTGGGTAAGTTCCCCGCAGTTCAATCTCTGGTACCCCTCCCCCCAAAAAAGAGTAAATGCTACCAAACTAGTTTTTCTTTCTTTCTTTTTTTTTTTGTCCCCTGATTTCTGGTAGTTAAATCTTTACCAAGATACCACTGTTTGTAAGACTGAGTAAAAAGAGCATAGAGGTAAAAATTGGACAGGTCTGATTATAGTCTTGCTTCTGCTGTTGCCACTGGGTCACCCTAAGTAAGTCACTTAACTTTCTGAATTGGAGTTTCTTTATCTATCTGTAACAAAACATTCCCATCTACTCCACAGGGCTGTTTGGTAATCAAATAAGATAATGTACAGAAAATGGTTTTGAAAAGTACGATGCTAAATATGTTATTTTCAAGTGCTTAAATCACCTGTTATTTCAACCTCTTAAATAACATTTGAGAATCAACAATTGGTTCATAGCACTTCTGTTATAGGGCTCAGGGGAGTTAACAGGATTAAATGGTGAATTTGTCTCATACTCCTAATAATCCAGGGAGGAAGCATCAGAATAGGTGCATGACACACACCTTTCTTGCCAGAGTGAGCATTTATTTCCCCCTGGTTTCATCTGGAAGCTGTGTATATTACTTTGTCTCTGTTTGTGTGATCAGACCATAATAATAGAAATGTGTTTTCTAGAGGGGGATGGTCTTCCAAGCTCTCCTACTCTAGTTTTTCATCACTAGACTAATCTGGCTTGGACAGGACCAAGTCTGCAATCTGGCGCCACCTGGTGGGAGTCTAGGTACAACTGGGTGATTGGGCATCGGATCCAGAGGTCGTGGGTTAATGGGCCCCAGTGTGTTAGGGGCATTCGCTTATCTAACTTCATCTTCCCCATGCTGATTATTTTTATTCTTTTATGTTTATGTCCAAAGTTATTTAGTTTCTGAGCTTAGGCCAATGCTATTTTGTGTACTCCCTGATTGATTGGTTTTTGATAATATCTTGCGATTCAGCAAGTAAATAATGAAAACAGACTAAGGACCAAAGGATGATGGTATCTATTTGGACTGTAGACCTGGATCTTCCACTGGCTAATAGTGTGACCATCATTGTATTCTCTGTGGGCCTCAGTTTACCATATTAAAAGGAAAGAAGTAAATATGATTCTGTGACTTTGACCTGTGAATGCCAGAGGTAGAGTGGGGGCAAGATAGATAATATTTGGCAATAAAATCTTTGCTGTCAAGAAGATCTGCTTTTTTTTTTTCCCTGCTAAAATTTGCTGCCTGTGACAGCATCTTTGTTGCCATAGCAATCCATCATTGAAAGTGGTGACATCACACTAAATTGCCATGGAGATGAGGGTGCTCTCACAAACAATGGATTCTGTTACCACTGTGTTGTTTGTGAAGGAAGTTGAGAGGTTCTCTCTCCATGATGCTTGGCATATCCAAGGCGGAGTTAGATGGGGGTTGGAATGCAGTGGTTAGCGGGCACTTGGGTCCTAATTTTAGCTTGCACCACTGTCTGCCCTACCCTGGCTCCTGCCTGCCATTTTTACCTCTTGTTCTTTCTTTTTCAGGGTTATCTATTGAGTCATCCTGATGGGGTTCAGATATGTCTCCTTTCCTGACTACTGCAAAGATGCTAGGACTCTAGAAAATTATTCTAATCATGAAAATCAAGATCAGAAAAGGGGAGATGAGGGAGGACTAGCTCATTTATCTATTTTATGGCTAAAGATTCTTTTAAGGCTTATCTGCAAACAGATCCTTTCCCCACCTTGATTGCTGAGCCCTTTGTGCCCACAACTTGAATCCTACAGACTCAATGACCCTGGAATTATGTCTATTATATAGATCTCAGTGGTTCCTATTCTAGAAAATGGGAGGAATAACTCCATAAAATACTTCCAATTACTAGTGCCTTTGGCATGTTGATGGGCTTGACATCTTTCCCCTTGTTATTAGTCTTATGATAATTGACAATCATGTGGCCCTATTATAGAACCATATGTAGTTCCCTTTCTCTAAACTAAATAGTCTCAAAATGTCCAGCTTATATGGGAATCTTCTGTGCCTTGGTTCTTCTTCCAGAGAAAATCAGAAGAAACCAAGCGTAGGTCTCTCTATCCTGCACTCCTGACCTTGCTTTTTCTTGTGCAATATTCCCAGCTGCCTAAACAGTTGTGGGATCTCCTAGCTGGAAGGCACCAGTTGGTAGGCATTCAGCTGCTGGAGGGGGCTGGTGAGGTCAGGCTGTTGAGGTGCTGGAGATTGGTGTTTTGGTCTGTCTGGCTTCCCCGCCTTTTTTTTTTTTTTTAAGTTAAAGGATGAGTTTGGGACATGGTGGGCTTAAAGCCTCCACTGTTCCTACCTAGTCCAGCTCCTTCCTCTGTGTGCTGAGAGAGGCTGCTTCCCCCTTGCCCTGACCTCCTTTGTGGGTGCCTGAGTGCACAGCTGAGTACCCTTGCTCTGAGTCCCTCTTCATTTGCTTTTGGGGGACATGTCCAAACTCCACTCACTATCAATCTCTACTTAGGAAACCAATGCAGTTGGCTTCAAGAAAGGACCTTTTCTTAAGGTTCTTGGGTCAAGGCTCTCTTTTTACCATAGTAACTTGAGGGTGATATGGGGGAGAGTATGCTGGGATGGGGGCCAAGGAACTCTGATTGAGATCAGGGATGGTGGAGTGTGACCAGACAGCATCCTCTGTCCAAGCCATGTTCCAGACCCCCGAGGGATGCTGTGAAGTGACTACTATACAATTCCTGTCCTACAGGAGCTTAGAACCAAGGAAGGGAAACCCCATACCCACATCTAGACCAAAGGCAAGACTCCTCCTGAGAAGTGCTTACAGTTGGTGGGCGCTGCAGTTGTAAAACTTGAACTCTGTGCTGACAAATATCTTCCCCGTCTCCTTGGACCTCAGCTGTAGCTCCAGCCCAAACCAGTCTGGGGAAAAAAGAAAAGAATGGGGTGTAGTGAAAACCTGGGGACCTGATGGACAGCCTGAGGGAGAGGGCAAATTGTTCAGCCATCCCAGGGCTCTCTGAGAGCGCAGATGGTAGATGGAACCTGCCTGTACCTTCTCCCAAGAGAATCCCTTTGGCTAGTTACCAGTCCATTCCTCAGACCCAGACCCAGGAGGGGAATAGCAGAGTTCACAGAGCCCCTTGCCTTGGTTAAGCATGTTAGGTTACTGAAATAATTTTAGAAATATTAGGCCAGAACTCCTCAAGCCCCCCGTTCTATAGAGATAACCCACTAAAAACCATTGACTGAAGCCACCCCCATTCCCCAAAGGGACAGGCAGTCTGCAGACTGTGCACAGACTTAATCCATGTGGGAGCAAGCATTTTATATCTTCCTGAATTTTGCTTGGGGGCATGACAGTTTGCTTTCAAATTCAAACAAGTTGAATAAGCCAATATTAGTATCTGGTATTTGAAGACTCAGTCAGACCAAGACTTGTGACCCTCATCTCTGCCACGGTAGAACAGCCCCCCACATGTGGCTCTCCCAACAGACACTTCTTACCTTGATCCACAGGGATGACAGGGACATCTTTGGGCCCAGGGGAGACACAGATGACCTGGCTCCCGGACACCTGCCCCTCTACCTCCGTCAGGTTCCCAAAGGCACAGGCGATACCAGTGGAGAGATCAGGAGCATCACTCACAACGAGGCTGAGCTGTGGGAGGAACAAAGAGCTCAGAAGACCGGCTGTAAGCTCAGCCCTGCAGGGACCTATTGCTCACCCATCTCCCCTTACCTCATCTCTAAAAGAAGAGCGCTGGTCTAGGTGACCTTCCAGGTCTGTCACAGAACAATTACAGAAATGAATTGCTCATTGGTGTGTAGGATCTTTATTAATATTATTATTAATTGATTTTTCAATCTTATTGAGCATCAGAAAACACAGGGGTTTAGGGCCATTAGAGGTAAAGGCACCAAAATCCATCCCAGGATTTGACATGGAAATTAATTACAAGACTCCATGGGACCTTGGAAGTGTGTCCTGAGCTGAAGTCTTCATCTACAAGGCCTTAATCTGGGCCCCTGGTAGAGTAGGTATGGCCAGTCCCGTGGTCTGCTAGGAGTGCACTAGCTGGCAGGTGACAGCCGCTCTTCAACCTGGCTCTTACTCATTCAACGGCTGCTTATCAGGCTGTGGGATTCCTAGAGTTTCTGCTCCTATGTTCCTTCCCAGCCCTCTGCTCTCTGGTAGGTCCTGGAGTCGGGCAGGAAGTTCACAAGGAGCTCAGAGGACCACAGAAGGGGGGCCCACCAACAGCTTCATGGTGTCTGGGACCTAGGGGTTCCAATCATTTAGCCAGTGGTTTCCAGCCTTGTCAAGTTTGAGGACCCTCCTTTTAGTGGTAAAAAATATCATAGATGTTCAGAAGAATTTCTTAACAGAAAATGAGAAAATGCTGCTCTCAGTTCAGGGCACTTTTCGATGAGTTTGTGCTCAGCGACAATATATGTGCTCACCATGCTTGAATAGGTAAGAAATGTAACTGGCTCCCTCTGGTGATGAGGAGTGTCCCGGGGTTTATGGTGAAAATACCGCTGTGGGGCTGCCTTCAAGTTGAGGGCCACAGGACAGGCCAGCTTCCCTTGGTCTTCCTACTAACACCTGGCAGCCGCTTCTCTAGTCACTATGGCTGTCCCCTGGCCTTGCCATGTGTCTGCGGGCCAGTGAATCTCTGCCCCAGTTTCATTTCCATGGGGCAAGAGACTTAGGTACAAACCCCTCTGCTGGTTCTCTTAGCTCCCTTGGAGCCTACACCTCCTGGTAGGGATGAATGAATCCAAATCTTGGAAGGCTCATTAACTAATCAACATTCGTGAATGCTCATAAAGATCTGCAGGATGAAAAAGCAGTCAAGGCTTGAGAACATGAACTATTTTGGGTTGTAGCACACACTGACTTCAAATTGAGTCTTGGTCTCTGTCTTATCACCACCCTCACACCCCTCAACACAAAGGCAACTTGCAGATTTCTTGAGAGAGTGAAATATTGTCAACACAGCCCACACTAAAGAATGTGCCCTTTGGTATTGGATTGGTATTGTCACAGACGTTTGCTACTACATGCAAAATTTAGATTTACAAAAGAGATCAATGGGCAATGAATTTTCAGGGAGGATGACCCTTTACAATAAGAGTTACCCCTAGGTTTTCTGAAAAGTTTCCTCAGACATTTCAAGTGGGATCGATGTTCAGATACTTGTGCAAGCCTTAAAGGAGCCCACCCACAAAGATGCGTGCCCCCGCCGCTTCCTCCCTCTGCCTCCCTGCTAAGATACCTACCAGCCGGCTGTGCTCAGACACGGAGATGCTGCTCGGATGTACTGCGAGGCTCATGCACTGGCTGATGCTGGCAGCAAATCGATTTGGTTCCCAGGCCCGCTGGCACTTGTCCCTGCGGGAGCACCTGACACAGACACAGATTCACAAGAGGTCAGGCCTCTGGGACCCGTGTGTTTGATGCCATTGTCCCCTGGTGAGAGGGGTTTGCTGCCCAGAGGCCCGTGGCTTGTCTGCTGCTGGTGACTTTTCACTGTACTTCAGAGGACTTTAGTGCCTTCCAGATGGTATTTATGGCATGCAGCTAAGGACAGACTAAGGGGAAGGAGCATTAATTCTCAATACAAGGGATGCAGTTTGTTTATATATATATATAAAATCCCTTACCAGGACCATAGGAATGCTCAGATGAGTGAGGGAGGGAAGTTTGGGGGGAACTTAAGAAGTAGCAGAGCAATGGGCTAAGAACTTGAACTATGGAGCCAAGATGTGGGTCCTAACCCCAGACCTATTACCCTATAGCTGTGGCTCCTTGGGCAAGTGACTGATTCACTCTGTTCTAAGTTTCCTCAACTGTAAAAGGGTAAGAGTGGCAATACTACCCTACCTCACAGGGCTGGTGGAAGAATCAAGAAGATAACGCTTAGAATATAGCCTGACACTTAGGAGCCATGCCAGGGTCAGCGCTTGTAATACCAATATTATTGATGATGATGATTAATATCATTATTCACCTCCAGAAGAATTTAGAAAATGAGACTGGGCCTAAGCTGTGTGGGACAATGTGCATATGATCCTGTGTGTGGATTGATGGCTCTTTAAATGGAGAGGTCATGTTTTATTCATTGAGATGTTCTACCTGTCACAGGGTATATTTTAAATAAATGTTTGTGTCGTGAAATAATGCCTCGAGACAGAGAGGCAGAAAGGAGCTGTGGCCAGGGTTGCCTCTGTCAGAAAGCTTGTGTGGCTATTTCTCTGGACATCTTCATCTTGGGCCCCAGGCTCCTCTGCCCACAGTAGCAGGTGGACGCAGTGATGCCCACAAGCAGGAGCTTCAGGCTGCCACCTGCTGTGTCCCATGGGGACACACTCCAGGGCTTGGTGTTGCTCCAAACCAAATAGCTCAGGGACACGACAAGATTCCACGATCAAGCTGTGATTCCCACCCCCAATCCCCCCAAGCTCCTCCCCCTCTTCCTTTCCAGGCACATAATGGATCTAAATATGAATGCTGTCAAAGAAAAGAATTATTGAGGTTTAAGTGAATCCTTAAGATAGCTCTAAAGTGAGCTCTTGACTGGAGCCTTTATCTCATTGACTCACTGAAATGGCTCTTTTTTATCATACTATTTATGGCAACAGCCCTAACAGAGATAAATAGCCTGGGAGACAATAACACACTTGCAAGAGGAAGGCATACAGAAGAGACAGGAGGGTTTCCAATCCCCCTGGGCCCAGAGGCTCTTTAGCAATCTCCCTCAGCCCTCTGGCTCCATTAAAGAAGCCGGCCTGTAAGCCCAGGAGGTGGGGTCCTGTCTTTTCATCCTCTGGGCAGGCAAGAGAGTACTGCAGAAGGGTCTGTAAACAAGAGAATGACCAGGCCTGGAGAAACTTCTGTTCTCGACGTGTTCTTGGCAGGTGGAATACCGGGTGACCGGTAAGTAGGATTCTCTGAGGACAGGTAAGAAGTTCAGGGAGCAGAGGAAACTGTCCTGATGAGGCTCAGTCATTCAAGGAGACACAACTGACATGTACCAGGAGGATAATGGCGTGACATGGGGCAGCTGGAAGACTTGGGCATTGTTGACCCAACCATGGGTGGTGGTACAAGTTGGGGAAGGCAGATGTGCTTGCTGTTGACTAAATGAGCATCTCCGATCTATGATTCTGCATGGTGTTCTACATGTGAGAAGTGTCAGAGGCAGGTTGGGAAGGGGCAAGGAGTTGGAGATACAGCTGGTCATGGCCACTGCAGAGCCACAGGGCATGTAGCCCAGAGCTGCAGGTAGACTGTACTACTGTCTCCTTCCTTCCTTCCTTCCTTCCTTCCTTCCTCCCTCCCTCCCTCCCTCCCATATTTCTACAGCACTGGGGATTAAAACCTGGGCCTCGCAGCACATGGCTAGGCAAGTACTCTAACTGGGAGTTCATTTTGTAGCAGGGTCTCATTAAGCTGCCCAGGCTGGCCTTGAACTTGTAATCCTCCTGCCTTAGCCTCTCAAGTAACTGGAATTACAGACATGTGCCACTGCACCCAGCTTTGTTAGGCTCATCAGAGAAAGACATTCTCTTCAAGAGAGACCCTGCTGAAGGGAGCCCAAATTTACTCCCTTTGCCAGTCCTGGGGTGCAGATTGGGTGGCCTCGGCATCTTTACCATATGTCTGATCTACCTGGAGACTCGCTGTCTGGGTTTTGCTAAGAGCATTTTTGCAAAACTTTCTGTGGCATCTTGTCCCTCCAAAACCCAAGTAGGGAACCCAGTGTTCATGGAAACAAATCCAGTCCAGATTTTGCATCTGTGAAGCGCCAGCCTCTCTCCCTCCCTCCCAGCTCTCCCAACACCTGCTGCAGAGGCTGCAAGCCAAGAGCTATTGTCCAGGACCCTGAACTCTGGCCCTCCGCCTCCGCCTCCACCCCAAACCCAGCACATTTCATGGAGATGCTTCGCTGGCTGGCCCTGAGCCATGGAGTTTCCAGCTCCATTGGGCAACAGAATTCCTAGCCAGCTCCCGCCTTTCGGGTTTTCACCCTTTTCTCTCCCTCTGGGGCTCTTCGAATTAGGAAGTTTAAGTGTGATTTTGCATTTCTATTGAGCTGGTATTCAATGGCGGGGATGTATCTGAATAGGGATAAGAGGCCAGTTGGAGTGAGATGCGGACTTCTTGGAATCATGAAATAATGAGGCCAGAAGGGTCCTCCCAAGGGTAAAGCGTCCATAATAGTTATTTTGATTTGTGCAGCCTCTCCTGGGCTTCCTTATTTCCAAAGCACTTATTATTTCATTTAGTTGTAACAATTCACCTGTGAAACAGGCATTTTTTCCTATTTAGCAACAGGGAAATGGAGGCCTAGAGTTGTCAGAGGACCCATCCAGGGTCACATGGCAGCTAGCTGGAGAGCAAACGTCCCAACTCCAGTGCGGCATCTTTGGCATGTCCTGCAAGCCCTAAGGCCTGGAGATTCTTCCACAACTTCCCTAATGATACAAGGATACCACCACATCACTCCAACATGGCTGAGAAGGCAAGACAGAGAGGCAAATGCACTACACACAGATAGAAGTCCCCTTTCCCTGCCTCCCACCTCTGCATCACCTTTAGAATTACTCCTCATAAGAGGGAAATTCCTCCTTTCTGCAAATTGCTGTCCCATACCATCATTCTAGGAAACCCCCCTATCTTCTGCATGCCAGCTCCCCGTCCAGAACATTCCCAACTTACATGTTGTGCAGAGTGCACCAGCCACAGTGAGGGTCCCCGGAGCTCAGGCACTCCCCACAAGTTGTGTACTGTTCACATGACTCCACAGGGACCCTGGTGACCTGGTGGGGAGAGGAAAGGGAGCACAGGGAGGTCAGGTTGTGACAATTTGAGAATGTGTGTTCAGACTCACCTATTTCCAGGCACTCTGCCCTAATATGTCTCATAAGAAGGTGACACTGGTGGCAAATCAGTGACCTTGATGTTTTCATGTCTTTTCTGGCTAGGTCAGGTAGGGCTAAGCAGAATGCGTGGCAGTCCCAAGATTTCTTGACTTTGCTAGAGGTAAAAGAAAACTCCCCAACCTATTGCTGCCAGCCTCCGACGTCCTCCCTAGAGCTGGGCAAACCACGGGCAAGTGCTAAAAATGGTTAACTCTGCTGAAAGGCTATTGAGTGGCACAAACTCATCTCTGAAGAGCTTTCAGCTGGGCTTGGGCTGAGACATCCTGCCTGCACAGAACACATTTTAAAAGGGAGAGAAGGAGAAACTTTTCCCATCAAATAATATTCATAGTATGGCACAGGCTCTTTACAGCCAACCAAACATACCACCTGGATCCAATTATCCCATTCTCTGATGGCTGCATTCAGTTTCCCTAGTAAATCTCCCATCCTTTCAAAAGTCTGGCTAAATGGGAACCTCCACAGAGAAGAGCTGCTTGTCTGATTCTGTCTTGCCTGAAAAGTGGGGATTTGCAGATCAAGTCCCTGCCCCCAGAAAGGACAGCCCTGGAAAACTCCTCCTGGCTTTCTGGTGGGGCCCTGTAGGGATGTGAGCTGGACCTGTTTGGACATCACTCTCTCCCACCTGCTTAACATGTGTGTAAAGGTCAGGCAATGGGTCAGGGGACTGAAGTCTTCCATTTGATGTGTCCTAGGTTTCTGTTGCTGGCTGGGGCAGAAGGCTGTTGGGCTGCAAAAACATTTGTTGGACTGACAATGGGTTCTCATTTGTTAGGGCATAGAGGTCCCCCACCAACTGGATGTGTAAGCTCAGGTGAAAATAAACTGTGGTCCAGCTTCTGGCAGCAGGATGAAGGCTATGATGAAGATAATTTCACAGCATCCTCCTCCTGGGAGGTTCAGGATGGACCCCCAACACTATTCATTCAGCTAAGGTTTCTCAGATGTCCACTCTGGTGCTAAGCAATAAAGAAACCATAGCAAACTACATGCAGATTCTGCCCTCATGGAGCTCCACAGTCAGGGGGACTTGGTAATTACCAAATGAGAATTGCTTCACATTGTGCCGAGTGTTTGTAATACAGGATTGGTTTGATTGCAGGGGACCTTGGGAGCTTAGAGTAGGGTCACTGAGGACAACCTGTCAGGAGGAAGAGACCAGGGGTGGAAGGGTGAGTCTTGAAGTATAAGAATGAGCCAGATGCAGGGACTTGGAAGTCCATTCTCAGCAGAGGGATCATAATGAGCAAAGGAGGCATAGACAAGTTCAGTGTAACTGAATGGAGAGTGTCCACTGGGTGGGCAGAGACCAGCCTGCCATTACTCTGTTGTGCCCTACCTGTCTTTAGCATATCCTAACACTTAACATTTCCACAACACAAGGCTTTTCTGTAAATGAGTGTCATGATTGGCCTAAACTGACTTTTAAAAAGGATACTCTAAGTGTAGACTGGGGATAGCTGGTTTGAACACTTCCTGCATGATATACACCTGAGAGCTTGAGTTGCCTCTAAGTCCAATATGCCCTGCCAGGATGAGAACTAACATTGCTAATTTGATCTGGGCTACCCAAATCCACATAGTGTCAGACTGGGGAGTTATGAGCAGCTTGTCTTCATGGGGTACTGCTCAACTTAAGATCCTTCCCAGAGGTCATCTGAGGTAGGGCACAGATGAGGTCCCTCTGGGACCTGGATGGACCTAGGATTTTTGGTTAGCCCACTCCACAGAAGAGGAGTCTCCAAGTAGCCTTGAAGGCTATTTTCCAGTGTGTGAAGGGCTGCAGTGTGGCTGCAGTAGGATCCATGAATAAAAAGTTTCAGGAAAGCTCAACAGAAGAAAGTTGGAGCCTGCCAGTACTGCCAACGACCTGCTGCCCAGGTGAACACCTATTCCCGGGGAGCACGAGCAGTTCGGGGGATATTTGCCTTCAGAGGAAGGGTGCATCTGTCCCTTCCAATTTTGACATTCCAGGATTCTATTTCCCACAGTTTACCCAATTCCTCTCTGAGACTATTTGTGATTTCTGACCTGTATAACTTGACAGTAGAAAGATAACATCCAGTCATCCCACCCCTGACTGATTTCACAGGGCTTTAAAGAGCAACCTTTGACCCCTGACTCATGGCCTGTGATGCCTACTTGAAGTACCTTCCTGACAGGTGCCTACGGGAGACCTTCTAAGGTGGCTTTCCTGGAACTGATGGCTCACAGCCCCTCAGGTTAGTTGGGACCCTAGCTGCCTGGTGGGCTTCCGCTTGCCCCCTCCAACCTACTCTGCAGGGCCTGAGAGCAGCAATCCAGTGCCCAGCTCCCTTTCTTGGGTTTCGGGCTCCTTGTGAGTGATGTCTGCATCTGGCTGGAAATTAAAACAACTGTCTGCATTGCATTCGGCCTGTCTGTCAAAACACAGCCCGGCTCTCAGCAGCTGGGAAAGGGGGCCCTGAATAGGAGCAGTGTCTCCAGCAACAAAGCCCACTTTCACGCCAAGTGCCACAGAGATAGTGAAACCCTGTTCTTCTCCAAACATGAAACCAACAGCACAACTATTTTTCCTGTTTCCTGGGCCCTCCTGGTGGGATTTTTTTTAATGCACTGAGTTGAAGAGTTAAGTGAAACAGGAAACATATCAGGGGGAGGGTCCTAAAACTTGAATTATTCTCTCCTCTAAGATCTAATAGCCATGCATAAACCAGAGAAAAGAAATGTCACAGTGACTGGGAGGAGACCCTCAAAGTCAGATGTTCCCATGGGTCTTTCTCTGTCCCTATATTCATGTGTTTCTATGTTCATTCATCAACCAATGCTCATTGATCATGTCCTCCATACAGGACAGTACTAGGCACTTCAGGAGAATAAAAAAAATAGCAGCATTAAAACACAGCCATCACCTTCAAGTTGCAAACAGACTAGCAATAAAAACAAGAAAGTGATGTGTGTTCCAAGAGGGGCATTGAAAGAGGGCTGAGGGAATTCAGAGTAAAGAAAAAAAAAATACATTGGTATCTGAGCTATCTAGTATGAGAGCTACTAGCACCATTGAGCATTTGAAGGTAGCAAGTCCTAATTGAGGTAAGCTGTAAGTACACAACATATATTGGGTTCTGAAGATTTCATATGGAAAAGAAAATGAATAAAATATCACATCCATACTTTGTTATTGGCATATTGAAAGATAACATTTTCTATATATTGGGTTAAAAAAAATCTGCTTCTCCTACTTTTTGAAATTTAGTTGCCAGAAAAGCAAAAACTACACGTGTAGTTAGTTCATGTTTGTGGCTGGTGATTTATTTCTCTCCTACAGTGCTGCCTCAAAGGCAGAGATCCCAGGAAGGCTTCATGAGAGGCCTCACATGTGTCTGGTTACACAATGAAAACTATTTAGTTCTATGGTTTATGCAGATTCTAGGAGGAACAAGCCCATAAGCCAACATAGGAGAGCAGAGTTTCTTCAGACACTTTGTGTGAGGCCAGGGAGCCATGGGTGTGAAACTGGAAGGGCAGGCTTAGGTTCACTTGGGAAGGATGGGGAAGACACAGAGTGGGAATGTGTGATGTCTCTTGAGTGCTCCAGCCTGTCACTCCTTGGCCAAAAGAATATCCTCCATAGACAGGCGGCCTATGGCTATCAAGGAGCAAAGATTCTCCATGTATGGTCCTTGAACCAGCCCAGCTGCCATCACCTGTGAGCTTATTAGACAAGGAAATCCAGGGCTCTATTAATCAGAATTGCTGGGCTGGGTCCAGGAAATGGCTTTAAACATCTTTTCCCAGCAGATTTGCAGATGTGCTTAAAGTTTGAGAAGACTGTTAATAGATGACCTCAGCTCCTTGGGGAAGTCTTTTTTAAATGACAGGTCTTGGGCCCAGAAAAAAACAGAATCAAACCTGCCTTGAGGCTCTGGCTGAGAATAGAGTGACTTGCGGTAGGGGGCTGGGGTGTGTGTGTGTAGGAAAGTGACAGAACTCTTGGGAACCACTGATACCCAGGGAGAAATTGATTTTGCTAACTCTGAGGCTCTGACATCCTCAAAAGATCAAATTCAAGCCTCTGGGGTCAGGGGCAGCCTCACGGTGGCCGATCAGGGGTGGCGCTCTCTTGGGAAGCTCCAGGAGGCCAGAGCGCTTTCTTCTGACAGTGTCGCCTGCACCAGGCGGCAAGCAGTCAGGCTTGGCTTTGTCAGGGCTGATTCCTGGTTAATGGGACACTCCCCTGAGACTTTAATTAGTGTTCATTTATGATTATTGCATTTTAATTATGCTTGAGACTCCCCGTCCCCCCCTCCACCCTGAGTTGACCAGAAGCGGGCTGATGAGAGCCACACAGGGGGAGGACGCTCTGTGCCCGCCTCCTCTACTGCTGTCACCCCAGGACCCGTGGTGCTGTGTGGTGCTGCCTCGAACTGGATTCCACCCTCGCACTCCACATTCTTTTCTGCTTGATCTTATGTCTTGTAATTACGCCTCTAATGAATATAACTGTCCTATTAAGTCATTTACTTAAGAAATACTCTTAATTAAAGGTGACTCATACTGTGCTCTTGACTCCTTTGGCCCCAGGGCCCAGCGTCACTTCCCTGTGTCTTCTTGGCCTGATTCATTGGGACTGGAGATCCCTGTGGGAAGGGCGCAGCAAGGTGTGCAGAGCATGGGGGGTGGTCCCCACCCCCACTACCACTCTCCCTGTGCAACACACTGGGCAGCCCAGTACTGTTGGACTGGGGACATGAGATTATGATTGGCCACGGGGACAAGTCACTAAGGGAAATGGCTGGAACCAGCCTTGTTCCTGAAGATCTTGACAGACATGGTGTATCCTTAGGGTTTGGAACACAAAGAGTGAATCCAGGAGGGGCTCTGAGGCCCTGATAGTT